AATATTATTTTCCTAAATTCTTATTTTTCACTTTGAAAGTTCAGATTTTATCACTGGCAATAAATTTTGTCAGCAGAAAATGTCTGCAAAAGTCTGAATAACCATTGTTTATTTGTTGTTCTTTAAAGTTAAAATGGTATTCCATGGAAAGCAGTCAATTCTGCTCTCAATTCAATCACACAAGTACTTTTTTGCTCAAAACAAACATCATAGCTTGGAATGCAACAGAAATATTTGTACTTCCCATTTTGCCACACAAACTATTCAAAGGACTAGATGTAATAAAAATAATGATTTTTATTGCTTCAACTGAGGATATCCTTAAGTATAATTGACTTTTTGTTTGCTTTTTATTTTTTTTTTATTTTTTTTTTTTTAATAGAGGCATGTTTTATTTATTTATTTGTTTGTTTTGTTTATACATGCACTGGGCACAGTCAGAAGCGCGGGAGGGCGAGAGAACTCACCAGAGCCAGAGCGGGAAGCAGAGCAGGCAGAAGGACCGAAGTACACCGCTGAGGGGAGCAGCGGGCGGCAGGAGAGGTCCGCGCGCCATGTGGGACCCTCCTCGGGTGGCCAGGGAGCAGCCGGGGATCGAACCGGCGCCGCAGAGGCCGCGGGCAGCTTCGCAACCCAACGCTCAACCGCTGCGCCACCAGGGAGGCCCTTGTTTGCTTTTTAAATGCAATTTTTTAGTGATGAAAACTCATATAGTTTGTGGTGTCAGGGCTCGGATGTGCTTTGACAGTAGTTACCCACTATTGCTTTTGCACCATTAGTGCAAATATAAACATCATCATTATGAAAAGCAAATAATATCTTAGAACTATTATGAAAATGTTTGACCTTGCAGATCCCCTGAAAGAGTCTTAGTGCCTCCCCAGAGGTCCATAAATCATACTTTTAGTACCACTGAATTAATGTAGTACTCATGTACTATAGTGCAGATATCATTATCTATATGAAATTTCTTTCTCCTTTGTTTAAGTGCTCATCCACTTACTTAACACATGTTTTGCAAGCACGCGCACATACACACTCTCTTTCTGGTCAACTGAAGTAATGTTAGTGAAGTAAATGTATAATACAGATAAAACACCAAATTATCTTCTTTTGTGCAATGTCTAATCAAATTACTCATATCTACCTTTTTTTAAGATTTATTTATTTATACAAAAACTGGGGTACAGGTCAGAGGCACGGGAGGGTGAGAGAATTCACCAGAGACAGAGAGGGGAACAGAACAAGCAGACGGACTGAGAGGAGCAGCAGGAGAGGCAGGAGAGGTCTGCAGGGTATCTCCCCGGCCAGCAGGGAATCGAATCCACACTGCAGAGGCTGCAGACAGCTTCACAGGGCGGCACTCAACCGGCTGCACCACTGGGGTGACCCAAATTACTCATATCTACTTTTAAAGATACTAAAAATCAAAATGTTCAACAGTTTTCTACACATACACTTAAGTTATAATCTTACATACACAAATATTTTTAATTAAAATCCTTGATTCTCTGAACTATAACCTCGAAAAAAGAAACATACCTAGTTTAAAATTGTATCACCAATATTTGTTCATTTGTTAAACAAATACTGTCAGTTCTACCAGATAATGAGTTATAAAACCTGGTATCTCGTGAAAGGGAAAATTTTAGCTCTTAAATTATTTTTTTTTTAAAGATTTATTTATTTATTTATACAAGCACTGGGTACAGTCAGAAGCGCGGGAGGGTGAGAGAATTCACCAGAGCCAGAGCGGGGAGCAAAGCAGCCAGAAGGTCCCACATGGTGCGCAGACCTCTCCTGCCGCCCGCTGCTCCCTTCAGCAGTGTACTTCGGTCCTTCTGCCTGTTCTGCTACCCACTCCGGCTCTGGTGAATTCTCTCACCCTCCCGCACTTCTGACTGTACCCAGTGCTTGTATAAATAAATAAATAAATAAATCTTTGGGGGGGGGGGAACAACTCTATTTCTAATCACAATAATTATAAGACTTAGAAATTTGGCAAAAAAAATTACATACCACAGATATGTAACAAATAGAAAGTAAAGGTTCCTAACATCTCACTCTTAAGTGACTGGATAGCCACATAAACATTGAATAAGTAAAATGGGAATAGACTCAAATTTTTAAAAATAAAAACAAATCTGAACAGTAAGACGACCCTAGTAGAACCTACTTTCTCACAATGAATGGAACAGTAACTTCCTAGAGGTATCTTTTTTTTTTTAAGTTTTTTTTTTTTTTTTAAGATTTATTTATTTTACTTATACAAGCACTGGGTACAGTCAGAAGCACGGGAGGGTGAGAGAATTCACCAGAGCCGGAGCGGAGAGTGGAACAGGCAGAATGACGAAGTACACTGCTGAGGGGAGCAGCGGGCGGCAGGAGAGGTCTGCACGCCATGTGGGACCCTCGCCCGGCAGCTGGGGATCGAACTGGCGCTGCAGAGGCTGCGGGCAGCTTCGCAACCCAGCGCTCAACCACTGCGCCACTGGGGAGGCCCCTAGAGGTGTCATTTCTAATCAGATTTCTAATTTAAATTAAAAAAAAAAAACATTAGTTTGTTCAAAATGATCGAATGTAATGCCCCAAAGTAGGAAAGCTATTGTAGAAAAGTTTTTCAGTGCTTTAAAAGCTTACATTAATTCTAAAAGTCTGCTAAACCCATTTAACACAATAAATACATACGTTACTGTGTAAAAAAAAAAGTCTATACTGCCTCCCTCTCCCACCTCACTCTTTTTCCCACCTGCTCCTCTTGGGGCTCAGAAAAGGCTGGGGGTCTTGACCAACTGAATGTCTGGCTATAATCCAATATTAGCTTAATGAAGTTCTGGCATTACAGCCTTCCCCTAAAAGAAAGGGCCTACAGGCAAAACTGTGCTAACAATAGAGCTCTTTACAAAAAAAAAAAACAAAAAACAAAAAAAACACTCTTAAATCCTTTTTGCTACGTATTGAGGTTAAGCAATCATTGTAATTTCCAACATTTTATTTCATCGTAATTACAGAACAATTCTAACTGGAAAACGCTGATATTCTTGAAATCATCCAGCAACAAAAATGAAATTATATTTATTTGTTAAGATGTTGGATTAATTACTATATTGAGATGCCATGGTTGCTACTATATGATCCCTTAATCTGGCATATCAACAAATTTTTGTATACTGTATACATTAAAGATTAACATTTTGTCTCACCTTTTTGCTTTAACAATAAAACTCAAAAAACACTACTCATTTATAGCAACCTAAAATGTCACATAGAGATTAATCATCCTATTCACTTACACCACAGAAAACATTTGCTAAATAATATATATTTAGTAAATTATTGAGGTTATACATTAGCAACCTATATAGAAGATGAAGTCATTTTAATTGGCATGCAAAACTTGATGTGGCCTTACTGAAAAAAAGCTCCAAATTTCATTAACAAAACCAAGTCAATCATGCCTGTTCTTATTTCAAAATATCTTTTCCTTGAAATACTTCAGCAAAGTTCTTAGTATACTTTAAAAGTTTGTATCAGCCACAAGGAAAAAATGCACCCACTGTAATGAAAAACATCTAGAACCAATAAAAAAGAAAAAAAGTTTAATTCACTCTGAGAACTGTTTCTTTCAACTATTGCTACCACTTGCCATCCAACTTTACGATTACAGAAAGGGGAACATAAGATTTAGATAGTGCTGGCAATCTTTACCAAGTTCCCCTCACTCACTACTGTTAAATTGGGTGGCAAGCAAACAAGAGATATTTGCATACTTCATAGGTTGAGTGACACTAGCTGAAAGAAAGCTGTCAACCTTTGCCTAGCTTAGATAATAGGAACGTTATAAGTGTTCATTTTATTGTATGCCCTCCCCTACAATTTGGAATTTTTTGGTCGTGTACATGTATTATTTTGTGCCAGCTATATTTTATTAAGTTACTAGTTTTTATCTAAATCAAGCATAATTTAGGAGAGTTCAAAATGCAGTATCAGAATCAAATATAAAAGTAGAATTGAAAGAAAAAGTTTGAATTGATGCATGGAAAAAACACACACAAAAAAAATAAAAAATAAGCTTCACAATTAGTAGCAAAACTAAAAATTAAGAGCATTTCCAGTAATAAAGTTCAAGATTGTTAAGTTATGAGCTATTCAGTGAATTTATTTTGAAACCCAAGCCTAAGGAACATTTGTTAGAAAAATCACAATTTAGAAATAAATACAAAATTAAAAATTTTCATTAGGTATAATATAACCATTATGTTCATTAACCACGAAAAACAGCAATGTGTGCTAGTATTATTATCCTCTACTAAATGTAAAACCATGTCCTCTGTTAGTACTCTAAAAAGAACTTATTTTTTAATCAAGGCATAGTTAAAGTCTGTATATCATTCAACCTGAATCTAATTCTGTAGTCAATGAATACTATATTAAACATTAGCTAAAGTCACTGGGTGGCTGAGTAAAGGCAGTGTATTCTGTATTTTACAGTTTCATTAAATATCCTTTTAACCTAAGTGGAAAGAGGAAAAGAAACTGTACATTAGGAAGAACAGCCTGCTCAGCAGTAACAGTGGAAAAAAAAAAATTACAAGAGAATTTGATCTCCTGGTTGTACTTGAAATAGCACAGGAAAGTCTAGCTGATAGCAAAGAAAGTACTGGGGTTTCCTTCTTTGGTCTTTAAGCAAATGCTGATAAAACCATTCTTAATTGTGTAATAATCATGCTCAATAATGTCAATTTTACCAATGAATGATACTTTACAAAATAAAGAGGACATGTATATTGTACTAAAGGTCCTCAAGCCTTTATATGAATTCCTTATAATCAAGTATGTATGTGTGTTTCTTAATCTTTCAACAAATACTTACTGAGCAGCAATGTCTACCAGTTCCCGGGATTGACAAAGTCCTTGCCGTCATGGGCTTATTAGGATTTAGCAGAATCCCAGTACATAGGCTCAGGTTAGGTGATAGTGCAATGAAAGGTACAAAGGACAAGGAAGAGAAATGCTTCACAAATTTGCCTCTCATCCTTGTGCAGAGGCCATGCTGATTTTCTCTGTGTCATTCCAATTTGAGTATATATGATGCTGAAGTAAGCACCCAAATGTGGTGATCATTTTTCCATATGCAATTATAAATCTATAATAACGAACATTTGGCTAGCATATTCACATGTTTAATTATATTTAATAAATATAACACCTTAGAAACAGGAGGAGGGGCTAACAGTTAAGTAAATCTCATATACTTCAAATAACCTGAAAGCAAGTCTCCTCCCTAACTTAAGAAATGCATAACTAGGGCCTCCCTGGTGGCGCCAAGGGGTTAAGCACTGCACTATGAAGCAATCCACAACCTCTGAAGCACGAGTTCGATCCCAGCTGGCCAGAGAGGAACCCATGGTGCAGCAGACCTCTCCTGACTCACTCACTGCTCCCCTCAGCAGTGTATTTCACTCAGTCTGCCTATTCTGCTCCCTACTCTGTCTTTGGTGAATCCTATCCCTCCTACCCCACCCCCACCCCCTACACTCCAGCTCTTGTATGCATAAATAAATGAAATAAATCTTAAAAAATACATAAATAAAAAATAAATTCCACCCTAATTCTGCCCGCCATTATTTCACTGCCTTATGGAGCTTTCATGCCACTAGTAAGAGACCTGCATTTATCAAACTGTTATTACTCATAATTTAAGTAAGATCTAGTTAGAAGAATTTTTTGGTTGAGATATTACAGATTGCAGTCATGCCAACTTTATTCTAGAGTTGCAAGTATGAAAACCAATATTTCTTGAAAGTAACTAAGGATGAGAAAACATTGCAAGGATGAAGAACTATTAGAAAACGAATACTTCTGGGCCTCCCTGGTGGCGCAGACGGTCGCTGTGAAACTGTCCGCAGCCTCTGCAGTGCAGGTTCAATCCCCGCCGGCTGCGGAGCAACCTTCAAGGCGAGCAGACCTCTCCTGTCTCGCTCGCTGTTCCCCTCAGCAGTGTATTTCAGTCAGTCTGCCTGTTCTGCTTCCCACTCTGTCTCTGGTGAATCCTCTCACCCTCCCACACATCTGGCCTGTACCCCGGTTCTTGTATAAATAAACAAATCTTTAAGAAAAGAAAATGAGGGCCTCCGCGGTGGCGCAGCGGTTAAGCGCTGGGTTGCGAAGCTGCCCGCAGCCTCTGCGGCGCCGGTTCGATCCCCGGCTGCTCCCCGGCCACCAGAGGAGGGTCCCACATGGCGCGCAGACCTCTCCTGCCGCCCGCTGCTCCCCTCAGCAGTGTACTTCGGTCCTTCTGCCTGCTCTGCCCCTCGCTCTGGCTCTGGTGAATTCTCTCACCCTCCCGCGCTTCTGACTGTACCCAGTGCTTGTATAAATAATAAATAAACAAATAAATAAATAAAATATTTAAAAAAAAAAAAAAAAAAGAAAAGAAAATGAAGATGAACATTTCTTTGTGTGATATGAGGACCAAGAAAACAAAACAAAACAAATCTCACACTGAGTATATGCCTACCTGGGAAGAAAAAATTACATATGCTTTAAATAAGACTGCAAATGAGACATCACCCAAGTCTTCAAGTATTTCAGTAACAAGCCTATTAAGAACGGGACAAACTGGAAAGTCCTCATCTACAAAGAGCCATATGACCAGGAATTAATTCTTGTAGTCTATATTTTCTGCATCATAAATGGAATCCAGGAAGATGGATTCTGCCTCCATTCTCTGAATTACTACTTGAGGCAAAACACTTTCCATGTTTACTTTTTCCAATAAATAATTAAGAGCAGATAACACTAATACATACTTTCAGTGCGTACTAAAAACATTAAAATAACAGGTATCTCTAAAATAGGCTTCTAAGGGAAATCAGTTTTTTAAAACTAATTCAGCTACACATTCTAAATTCAACAAATAGTTATTGCCATTTAAAAAATAGTTCATCAGGGGCCTTCCTGGTGATACAGGTGTCACTGCAACACAAGTTCAATCCCTGGCCAGGGAACAGACCCGCATGGCGCAGCAGACCTCTCCAGTCTCATCTGCTGCTCCCTTCAGCAGTGTATTTCGGTTGATCTGCTTGTTCTGCTCCCCACTCTGTCTCTGGTGAATCCTCTCACCCCCCGCCCTGCACCTCTGGCCTGCTCCCCAGTGCTTGTATGCATAATTTTTTTAAAAAATCTTTAAAAAAAAAAAAGTTCATCACAGAAGTAGATATGTAATGATACCAAAATATTACCTGACAATATGGGAGAGGGGTGGAGGGGGATCCAAATCTGCCACCAGCATTATCCACCTTGATGATAAATGCCCTACCAGTCTCCTGTTTCTCCTATAGCTCCCCACTACTTCTTCTCTACCTACATGCCAACGGATCTTTGAAAAGTGAAAATCCAATCATGAAATTATCCTGCTTTCAATCTTTCAATAGCACTTCCCATTTTCTCATAATATAATTCAAACTCTTCATCTTTCTACCATGAATTACATACAGGACCTACAAGATTTAGCTCCTGCCTGCCTATCTAATACCTTGTCATTCATCTCTTTCCCTAACTCATCATACTCTAGCCACATCAGTCTGTTCTCTGATCCTGTAAAATACCAAGTTCTTTCCCACCTCCCAGACTTTATACTTTCCTTGGCCTTTGTGCATTCCTCTGCCAGGAATGTTCTTCCTGCAATTATTCTGGCTCATTTTAATTTTTCAGATGTCTGTCACCTTGTGAAGATAACTTCACTGACCACATTAACTAAAGTTTTCTTCCCTGTTGCCTTCTCATAATAGTCCTATAATCTTGTCAATTTATGTATTTATTGCTTATTTATGAATCTGTATGTCCAAAAACTATGTAATGCCACAGGATATAAGGATCCAGTTGCCTTGTTCACGGCTACAAGATCTTAACCTAAATTAAACATGTAAAAGCCCTATTACAAAATGTAAGGGCTCCTAACTATTTTGCGCAATATCTCCTAACAATACTACATAGTGTTCAAATGCCAAATAAACAGGAAAAACCACAAGAATATTCCAAAAATCAGCAAGTGAATTTTTTTTTCCAGTTCATTTCAGGAGTGTTACAAACTTGCCTTCTTCTGCTTAAGTTTATGTGTCTTTAAAATTATTTCACTGCTTCCCTATAGAAAAACACTAGGCTGAACTGCCTCCCCAAATGGTGAAATGGCTTCCCTACCTCCTTCATTAAGTGTACTTGGCAACAACGAGAGTATTACAGCATTATATTTACTTTACATACAGGTCTTTTTTTGAATAGCCGTTTTTTCACACGTAATTAGAAAAGAACTGAATGAGAAATTTCTCCCAAAGTGCTACAAAAGAAAATCTCTAAGATGAGACTTTATGAAAAAGCATTTTTAATTTAAATTATCCAAACTCTTCTTTCATAGAAATGTAGACATAAAACACTGAAATCACAGAATTATTTTTTATTACTCTGATCTACTTAAAAGAGATTATAGATAAAAACAAATCCTGTTTGTGAAACATGATATATTTTAGGAAAAATGCTACATATTGACTCTACTCTCAACATTAGTACACTAAAGATAAGATTAATAAAAAAGTTCCTGCTCATGAAAATTATAAGATACTCACAACAAGGAAATACACTGTTACTTCATCTGTAAAAACCTAAAATTCAAACATACAATATCTCTGATGAACTATCTGACATATCACATAATAGCTAATAATTAAAATGGGGCTTCTTTTCCTGCATTTCTTTATGATATCCTCTGCCTTTTAATTTTTTTAATTATTTATCTTTTGATATGGCATGGATTTACAACACTGCAAATGTTTTAGAGGTATAGGTTCATACCTCTTCAGATGTATGGTATCAGAGTATTTCACCACCAATGTACCAATAAACCTCCATCATAGTATTTTGGACCCCTTTCCTATGTTCTCCACCCTCGACCCACCCTCTCTGGTAGCCTCAGTTCTTCAGTCAGTTTTCTAGGATTTCTTGGTTTAGTTTTGTCTTTTTCTTTGCTTTGTAAAAACTCACTATTCTATATAATGGGTGAAATCACCTGTTGTTTGTTTTTCTCCTTCTGACTTATTTCACTTCGCATAATCCCCTTGAGTTCTACCCATGTTGTCACAAAAGTCAAGATTTCATCTTTTTTTATATAGCTGAGTTGCTACTCATTGTGTGTGTGCGTGTATATATATATCTCACATCTTTTTAATCCATTCATCTATCACTGGACACTTAGGTTGTTTCTAAAACTTGTCTGCCTTCTTTTATTAATTGCTTTTCATTCAAGGTTTCCTTTTATCTAATTTAAATTCTGTGGTCAGAGAAGATGTGGTTAGATATCCCCAAAACTCCTACTAGCAAGGATAAAGTGTGAGAGGAATGTGACTGGTAAATGCAACCCTAAACGATATCATTGAGCTCTTACATGTATTATTGTTTGTTCTTCTGGACTGTTACACTTACTGCTATCTCCCTAATTATCTTTACTCCCCTCAACACCCTTCTGCCACAAAGGACAATACATCATTAGCCAAATCTCATGTCTTCAGAGTTGAGTATGTCAGTTGAGCCAATATTAAATATGGCAGAATACATACACACCAAATAGCCTCAGCCTTCCCTCATCACCACCCCAGCTCATCCAGCTCAGTTGGGTGTCAATCAGACCCAAACCTATGTGACCATAGGGACAACAGAGGATTTCTCAAAGATTGCTGAATTTTCCATTCTTTTTTGTATATCTAGTCCACACTTGAATAGGCCTCTCAACCTCTGTCCTTGCTCCTTAGGGTAAGCTCACACTTATATTTATCACATATTTGGTCACTTTGCTTTAGCCACTTGGCTGCATTCTAAAGGACACCGCCATAATAAGGCCAATTTAGGCCAAACGCAATAGAATTCTGAACTCCACGTCATGCCTATCGAATCACAAAGATTTATCCATTATCCAAATTATTTTTATCTTTTTTTTGTTATTGCCTATATGCATGCTGTATATCATTTCAAATTTGTATTTTTTTTTTTTTTACCCAATCTTTGTTAAGCATACACCACTGTATTTATTCTCTTGTCCTATAACCAGGTAAGTAG